TAAGAATAGAATAGAAATAAGAATAGAATAGAAATAATAGAATAGAATGGAAATAATAGAATAGAAATAAAACTAGAATAGGAATAGAAATAAGAATAGAATAGAAATTAGAATAGAATAGAAATAAGAATAGAATAGAATAAGAATAGAATAGAAATAAAACTAGAATAGGAATAGAAATAAGAAAATAGAATAAGAATAAGAATAGAATAGAAATCAGAATAGAATAGAAATCAGAATAGAACTAAGAATAGAATAGAAATAATAGAATATAAATAAAAATAGAATAGGAATAGGAATAGAATAGAAATAAGAATAGAATAGAATAGAAAATAGAATAGAACAGAAATTAGAATAGAATAGAACAGAATAACTTTATTGGCATGCGTTAAAAAGTTATTCTTAGTCTCTGCAAATGGGAGAGCTGCTAAAATCCCTCATCTCGGCTACTCCAGGCTTTTGGGGGGATGATTTTAACCAGGGTTGGGGTCTCTCTATCGGTGTCATGCCTCCTCCCGCAGAGATGGTGGAGAAGAGCTCAGTGGGGCTGGAAGATATGGAGACGGCGTTGGTTGCAGCTCCAGGTGGCCCAGCGTTTCCACGAAGCCGAAGAGGACCAGTTGCTCAAAACAGTAAGAAGAATGCATTTTGGGGGGTGGGTGGGGGGTGTGTGGTTAATCATCACCCCCTTCCCCATCACCTGGCCCTTCCCTTCGTTCTGCTGTTGGGTTCGGCCAAGGGTCTCTGCAAGGGTGGGATTCATCCGGTTCGGGCTGGTTCAGGAGAACCGGGTGTTAAATTTACATCCGGTTTGTTGAACCGGTAGTTAAACTGACGGGCTGGCCCCGCCCAGCCCTGCCCCATTCCAGGAGTCTCCACGCGGCCCATTTTGGATGCAGGTAAGTGCAGAATCCTCACGGAGGCTCTGAGAGGGGGGAAAGAAGTTCCAGTAGGCCATGCCCACCCAGCAACTGGGCAGAGAACCGATTGTTGTTGGGATTTTTAAATCCCACCCCTGGGTCTCTGCTCCCCTGGCCCATCTGGGCCCGGCTAGTCTAGGGAAGAGAAGGACCAGGGGAGACAGGATAGCAGTATCCAATATTTGATGGGCTGCCCCAGAGAGGAGGAAGGGTCAAGCTATTTTGCAAAGCTGCCGAAGGCCAGATAAGAAATAGTGGATGGAAACTGATCCAGGAGAGATTCAACCTGGAAATAAGGAGAAACTTTCTGACAGTGAGAACAATCAACCCATGGAACAGAAGTTGCCCTCGGAAGTTGTGGGAGCTTCATGCCTGGAGGCTTTCAAGAAGAGACTGGACTGCCCTCTATCAGAAATGGTGTAGGGTCTCCTGCTTGGGCAGTGGGGTTGGACTAGATGACCTACAAGGTCCCTTCCAGCTCTGTTAACCTGAATCTTAAATCTGAATCTCTCTGCAGGCTTTCGGAAAGTGGTGTCGGCTGGCGGCCGTCCGTCGAGTCCAGACCGAGTAAAACATCTGGCTTGGGGTGTCCCTTTTGTAACCAGCTGCAGGACGGACAGGTGGTGCGAAGGACACGCCGCCTCTCAGAAAAACTGGACTTGGCAATGCAAACTTACATCGGCCCATTTTGGAAAGAAGGGGAGACGGAGGAAAAAATTGAGCCACGCCGAGGATCAACCGGGCTTGTGTATTTGGGGAACGTCATTAAAAAACCAAGCGCGATGGATGGTCTCTTCAGTGTTGTGTCGTGATGGGATTCAATTTTTTTTTACTACTGGTTCTGTGGGTGTGGCTTGGCTCGGTGGGCGTGGCAGGGGAAGGATACTGCAACATCCCCCTTCCCTCCCCTCCCCACTAACCTGCTTTCCAGCTCCGTTCTCCTCTGCAGGGCAGCCAAAGAAGACCCAGCCAATCAGCTGGCACCCTGAGAATAGACGGGGGCGGGGCCAGTCAGAGGTGAGATTGGCCGGTTCTCCAAACGACTCAAAATTTCTGCTACCGGTTCTCCAGAACCTGTCAGAACCAGCTGAAGACCACCTCTGGTTGGCCCCTATTTGTCAAGGTCCTTCTGAAATTCAGGAAAATCCCTTTGCATGGGGCAGAAACCCCGTCATGCCCTTGGTTCAGTCGGACCCTGAGGGAGAGGAGGAACAGCTGACAGGGAGTGCAGATGTGGCTCCAGAGGTTGTGGAGGAAGGTTGGGAA